GAAGCTGCGAAGAAAAGTTGGCTTTCGAGGAATCTATTGTTGCATAATTGTTGAGCTTACTTCCATTTCGAGTGAAAGTGTTGCGTGAAGAGATTGGAAGGTCGGTTCGAGCAGAAGACGACGGCAGACTCTTCTTGATCAGCAGCTGTCGACTGGGTTTACTGAAACATTCATGCTGACGCTGTTTCCGAGGCAATCTCGTTCGATTCCGGTGAAAAGGTGCTAAGCTTTTTTGCGTCATATGATGGACATCATCAAAGCGAGGTAACATCGTCACAACAAAATTTTACGGATTTGCCGGTGAGTTTTCTTGACTACTTAGCTTGAATCTTATTGTAGCCTGGCTCTGATAATGTCCGTCATGTAATGGACGAAAGCTCATCACCTTTTCCCCGGAATCGTAGAAGATTGCCACGGAAACAACGTCAGCATGAATGTTGCAGTAAAGCTAATCGACAGCTGGTCAAGAAGAATCCGCCGTCGTCTTCTGCTGGAACCGAGCTTCGAATCTCTTCACGCAATACTTTCACTCGAAATGGAAGTAAGCTCAAAAGCTATTATTATTCCGGCCAGAGTGGACTGCGTCTCAGCAGCCTCCCCAGCGGGACTCGAACCACGGTACTGCAGTGTATAGTCCCGACACGTTGACCACTACGCCACACTTGCAAGAGTGCTCTTGCTTCCTGGGGCAAATGTAAATATCTCATGTCACATGATGCGTTGGGAGTATCGATGAGGCAAAGTTGCATTTGCCATAGCAGCCGACTTCATTATTTATTTCGCGTTGCTAAGTCAGTTTTAAAGACTACCATTGTACACTAGCATAGAAACATAAGATATGAAAAAAAACTGGGTTTCGAAGAATTCCTTAACGACGAGAAAGTTGGTTGGAAGGAATTCGTAATTTCGTTCCATCGGAAACAGAAGGAGGATTTCTGCGTAAGGAAGACTGTGCTAATCTTTCGTCTGTACCGCCGTGACAGACATCAACAGAGCAAGCTTGCATACTTTACGAAATAGAGCAAAAATATATTAAAACAAGAGAATAATGTGGCCGGCAGCAACCATAGCCGCGTTTTTATACACTCAACATCGCAATCTTAATGAGGCGTCCCATGATTTGGTTGGCCACCACAAACCGACTCTACATGCTTGCAAATGAGTGAAGTTAACTTCCCGATCCGGAAGTGTGTTGCAGTGAGACGACATCACGAATTGCTACAAACCAACTTTCCCTTTCAAATAGAGATTCATGCCACAAGAGCAAAACGTTACGTCTCTTCGTATTATTATGGCAAAATCCCACTACCATTCCTTCATCACGTTAAACGGAATTGGGTGTATGCATCATACATATTCACATTTACGATCGAGTGGTAGTATCAAACACATATTTATCAATGTATGAATAGGTAGATGGGTGGATGAATAGACGAATAGACGGTTAAACTTGTAGGTGGGTAAATGGAGTGTGGGTAAAGAGGTGAGTAAATGGGTAGATTAGTAGATGGATGGATGGATAGATGGGTAGATAGGTCATCTTGTATCCATCGTGTTTCTAGCGTCTCACTAATTCAATAAGCTTACTGATGAGGCTTCAGGAAACCTTTAATTTCTGCAGTCAGTCAGGCGGTGCTTGTCACGAGCAAAAGACAATAGACTCAGAGTAATGTCCTGATTATCACCGACACAAACAGTCTCTAAAATTTTCGTATTGGAATAGAGTTTCGAGACTACCAGCAAATCAGTAAATAAGTAATATGAGATGTATTCACCCTATTTCGTCTAAGGAAATTCAATGGAAACGTCAGCTCAACTCATGTCATTGGGGGAAAATTCTTTTTCTACCAGTCCTTCATCTCCTTAGACCAAATAGGGTGAATACATCTCATATTAGTCTCTAAAATACCCAATATCGTCTTCAATAAGAGCAGCACCACAAAAATGAGTAATACCACCAGCATCATCATTTATCCCAGTCCGCTAGCACAACACCATTAGCCACAATTATTTATAATATTGGTTGCATTATCTATCACTGCAATTACCCTTTCCATAAAAATACTTAAAAGCTTACATTTTCTTTCTTTTTAGTTTGAAGCGAAGGTGAAGGAAAGCCTCAAAACCAGTGGGGATTTATTCATTAAAACAAGTCCTCTAAAACTGGATGTCGCGTTGTCACAGGTGGATGTTAGCTTAAAAACCAGATTTTCGTCGCATTGCATGGGAAATTCGGCTCTTCGGACTCGAGGAGACGAATTGCTTTGTCGTGAGTTTGACCCAAATGATCTAACTTGTCAGAGCATTTCTCCCTAAATTCCCCAGTTTTGGCTTTTTCATGTGTGGAATGCTGAGTGCAAACAATAGCCTGTCTCTTGAA